AGCGACAGCCGGAAATACGTCTGCGTTCGCAGGCTACCAGCCAACTTGGGGGAAAAAAAAAGGAGCGTATGTTTAGAGATCAGCAATTTTTTAAAGAATAAATTTGTGCCAAGGTTTGAATCAAATTTTAAGCAACAGAGCCAAGATTGTAAACGGGATCCTTACGTTTTGAAATTTTCCCAGATTATAAACCGTCTTTCGTCGTTCTTATTTAAGGATGGTTGTGCATTACGCACGATTTCAACCAAATTGAGCGCGCGATACTATTGGCGAGGAAGAGAGCGTGACGCGTAAACGGGCGCAAACCTGAGTCGGTGCGATTGGACGAACGATTTTCCACAAAATAAAAACAGATAATACTTCAACGCCGGCTATGATCTTAGTATAATTTTTGATGCTGTCAATTTGATCAATGTGTTGTTTTGTTTCGTTGCGCTCTGGATCAGGTTTGGTGCGGACTCACAAACACGGGCGAGATGATCGCAGTCAAGCAGGTGGAGTTGAATCACAGCAACTCAGATGAAGCCGAAGAGGTACAGTGTCACTTGCACGAGCTCAACTGTCTGTTTATTAGCAATTGGTTGGCAAGTTCATGCTATGGCGTGCATCATCGAGGTATGGTGCACGCGAGAAGCTTGAAGAGCTTGAACGAAGCATAAGAGCAAGTCTAGCCTCTCGAATACTCTTCAAACTTCTTTACTGCCCCATAACTCGTTAGTGCACAGCTAAAAGCCTGAACCAATTGTTTTATAACGTTGCCGGTGGAAATAGACATGTACATCAAAAACCGCGCGCGCAAAAAAAAAATTCTGCTCTGCTAAGTGTGTTATAAATGTAGTTCGGTACTATTCCTCTGTTTATTCGCTCTGTCAGGCGGCTTTTACCTTTCGTGGCATTACTGGGAATCAAACTGTTTTTTGTAAACCTTTTCAGTCTCGTTCAACCCTCCTTGCAAACGTTTCTTATATTTCTGGGGCTTTCACTGGTGTTTTTCTACCGTTATGTCAAGTACGCAATCCTCCGTAGGAAAAAAGATGGCGACTGGTACATTTACCCATGGTTCTTAGCAGGCGAAAGCCTTAACAACGTTCATAAAAACGCACAGAAGAGTTACAAAATCTTCAAACCTAGCATACACAATGTCCTTCGTACAGGGAAAATACAGTAAAAATTTGGCTTTCTTTGTACCTTGCAGGCTGTGTTAGGTTCGCAAGGTATTGTGGTAAAATATACAGCCGCCATCTTTTTCCTATGGAGGATTATGTATCTCGATTCCGACTCAATTCCGTCTTGCATATCAAGCTAGCTTGCATCCAACATACTCGCTTTATCATCGTTGTTCACCTTAGTTCGTGTGACTAACAGCTGTTTGCGTTATTTCTTTCTCGTTAGCAATACGAGAAGCTCCAGGAGGAAGTGTCACTGCTGAAATCTTTGAAACACGAAAACATCGTCAAGTAAGTCGTCGACACACGTTCTTTTTCGCGACTAGTATTTTCTCAGAAACAATGATAACTTAAAGACTCTCTGTCGAACGGCATGCATTTCGCGCGTTACCCGAGGTTAGTTTCGTGGGCTACGAAACCTACAATTTGTTATTGTCGTTCGTTTCGCTCTTCAATCTTTTCAAATCCGAAGCATCCATTTGGATTATGCGACCCTTATTGCCTTTAACATTGAGGACAACATTTGATAGTAAATTGTTTGTTTGGTACATATTTGAGAAGCTAAACAACGGTCATTACGATGCGATTTGCGAAGACCCAGTTGGGAGGTTTAGACCACAGGGGCTCTTAAAATTTGAGGGCGCTAAATGCTCCAAATCCGTTCGATTTTTCTGACGTTTTCTTCAGCGACGGAACCAAAACAAAAACAACGCTCGTAAAGCATTGCGGTCGACAGAGAGAGTTTTCAAGCTGGCGTTCTTACCTTTTACTATAAACATGAAATTTGTGATGTATGCTGTCCTGTTCTTTGTCATTTGTAAATGATTTTCTTACGATCACTCTAAGGTTCATAGGGACTTGTTTAGATGGGGGCGTAGTGAACATCTTCATGGAGTACGTACCAGGGGGCTCCATTGCCTCCATACTTGCTCGGTAAGGTTCCTTTTTTTCGGTTTGCTTTTGTTTTCTGTTTTTCTGATTTACTTTTTGTTAAACAACATTTTTCGTTGGATTGCGTTAGGTTATTAGTCACTCCTTCATCAATTGTAGTGAGTAGATAACGCATTAATTGACGGGTTTTTTTTTGTTTTTTTTTTTACTTTCAGATTTGGATGTCTAGGAGAACCCGTGTTTAGACGTTACACTAAGCAATTGTTGTCAGGCGTGTCCTATCTCCATAGCAACAACGTCATTCATAGGTAGGTAACGAATCAGGTTGACAAGAGAACTGTAGGTAATAATTACTGAGTCACTTAAATAACGTTTTGTTTTGGACACAGTGCGCAACGTTTGCTAAAACATGCATTACATTTGTTCTGTTTTTTGTCTTGCAGAGACATCAAAGGCGGAAACATCCTTGTTATGGCGAGCGGCGTCCTGAAGCTGATCGACTTTGGCTGCGCCAAGCGCCTTTACATGGTATGCAGTACCGTAATGTTCTCTACATTTTACAAGTATTTCTTTGTCTGAATCAGTACTGTCAGCATTTTTGAAGGCATCTCTATGTTGAAGTGTCAATGCTGTTGTTGAGAAATATTCTTATTTAGTCTCGGTTCACTACCCAAACAACAGCTTCGACACAATGGTGCGTAATTCTCGCTTGCTTACTCCTGAGCTTCTTTTGTTACTTTTTCTTTTTCCGCCAATGAAAAATATGTCGCCCTTAGGCACGACTGCTACGAATGCTAAGAGACACTAGATCGCTGCAATTCTTAAGTTGGGAAAAGATGTGATTATATAGAAATCAAGTAGCCTCGCCTTTCGCGATCACATGCCAGACTAATTGCATGTAGGGTATCCGACATACTGAGCGAATGCGCAGTGAAACACGTAATAAAAACCTGACCTCTGTGGCTCATGATTCTGTTTCAGAATCTCAGCATGAGTAGAAGCAACATCCTTCGTTCTATGAAGGGCACGCCTCACTGGATGGCGCCCGAGGTCATTCAAGAGACTGGGCATGGACGAAAATCTGATATATGGTGAGTGTCATCCTCCACAAGGTTGAGGGCGTCACAGAAAGGGAGCGGGGGGGATGGGGGGAGGCATTTATGCTCTCTTGTTCCCTTAAAATGTCGCATTTCCTTGTTTTTCGCCAGTAATAAATTGTATTCTTTCCAAAGATGTTTCGCCAAAGTTCCCGTTGATAGTGGAGATATCCCTTGTTCCCCAATACCCCTGGGAGATCGTCCAATACCCCTAGGAGATCGTTCAATACCTCTAGGTGATCGTCCAATACCCGTGGGAGATCGTCATAACCCTGGGAGATCGTCCAATATCCCAGGGAGGTCGTCAAAACTGAACAACTCAGATTCATTTACCTGTATAGTGTTTACATCTCACTTGATTTCAATAGGCCATATTCGTATTCCCGATTTTGGACTGGAAGGAATGGAGGCTTAACGCTTATGCGAGGGAATATCATTGAAAAAGATTATTGCCATTTGCAGTTGAAAAGACTCCTCGTATTAGCCTCAGTTGCAAGCTAGTTCCAGTCCAGTACCGGGAATACGATCATGGTCTACTGGTTCCCGAAAAACCATTTTAATGAACTGACTAAGAAAGTTACTATTACTAAAGATGGCTAATTAGAAATCTCGATCTTAGCCGTAGTTATGTTCTTTGTGTTAATTTTTCAACTGTGTGTTTTATTCAACAGGAGTGTAGGCTGTACAGTGTTTGAAATGGCGACCCGTAAACCTCCGTGGTAAGTTAACGATGAATATACCTGTAATAACGAAACCGGTTACCTTAAAAGAGAAAGTACGTTATGTACAAGAAGAGCATTCTTCAGTTTTGAAACAGTCGAATTGTTTGGTAAGTGGATATCTGACACTCCAGTTCAGTGAATTCAGACAATTGAAGATTTCTAAAAGAAATAGGAAAGTGAACAAACCACAGTAAATGAATGAACATGTGTTGAAAATCGCACATCGATAGTCGACTCAAATCACCTTACGAAGCCAGACGTCAGTGAAGGTATGCCAGAATATATCGAAAAATTCCTTACGTGGCATTTTACTTTAGAATTCCACCATGCTGCCTCCCCTTGAAACTAAGCGGGCGCCCCTCAGACGCGCTTCAGACGTAAATAAGCCGCGTTTCAAATGTTTTTTCTCGCCAGGTCTGACATGCCTCGCATGGCAGCCATCTTCGCTATCGGAAGTGGGTCGGTAGCAGTGCCGCAACTCAGCGAAGATTTCTCGCCAGATGCTCGGGACTTCGTCAACAGGTGTCTGACGAGGTAGGTACACTGGCTGATTAATCGCTAACATCTTTATCTGAGAGATGTGCATGGCATTTAAAAATCGTTCTCGAGCCTAGCGTTGAAATTCGACGAAAATTGGAAAAATCCTCCAGGCCGGTATGGCCAGCTCTAAAATATCCCAGGGAACAATTAAGCTAAAGGGTACTGGGAGAAACAGCATTTTAAATTTTCCATGAAGACATTTACTGAGATCTTGTTCCTTTGTGTTGCAGGGACCCAGACTTGCGGCCATCAGCCGATGAGCTGCTTCAACACCCCTTCGTGATGGACCCTCAATAATGCTACCCAAACTCTCCTCGAGACGYACTCATTCTAGTCAGCACATCATGTAATCAAAACAATAGGTCATCAAAACATGTTCTTGTCTTAACTTTCACCAAATAGTTTTGGAATTTGTGAACATCGTATAGCATAGAAACAATTTGTTATAAGCTTAAGTATATTCTTGCGCTAATAAATTATGACATGTTTCTGTACAACAATCATTGTATAAAAAAATGTCTACCAGTATAGGCCTTTCCGCAAAATACCATAACATTTTATGTTTCTTGGCCACGCAGATTGACAGTTCGCACGTAATTACAAAACAAATTGAATTCAGATTTCTTTCGTTTTTGAAAGGACGTATTAATTGTAATATATATTGTAACGAGCGTGTGTTTTAGGCAGCATCCATACTACGCCGGAGAAATTTGAAAGCGCAGCTTTATTTCTACGGTTAGGCCTACCGTCCACACTGATCCGTCCCCAAGACGGAGCTTTTCGAAAACGCTCATCAAACCGGAGGAATTTGAAAACGCCGTCTTTTCGTGTTAGGTTGGACGGAAAACATTTTGAAAACGGAGCTTTATATTTACGGTTAGGCCTACCGTCCACACTGATTCGTCCCCAAGACGGAGCTTTTCGAAAACCCTCCTCAAACCGGGGGAATTTGAAAACGCCGGCTTTTCGTGTTGGGCTGGACAGAAAACATTTTGAAAACGGAGCTTTTCGAAAACGATGACGTCACGTTTTCACGTTTTCCACAATTTAGCGCAATCTGGCTACTTATGGCTTTAAGAGGTACCCCGCCAGAAGGTCGAGTAATAAGTGATCAAAAACTTTGTACCGAGATTATTTACATCGTATTGTAGACTTCTGTGCGACTGTTTTAAATATCTTCTGAAAAGAAATCATTTCTAACAACATCAAATGTCGAAAATAAATTTTGAAGTCCATATGAAACACTTAAAAGTACTCAGGGGTGGAGGGAAATTGATCACGAAATTTCACTAGCGTTTGCACAAGTTCTCTACTGAAACTTTGAAACTTTATTTCCTCGAGTAACATGGAAAATTGATTTTGGTGTTATTTCGGTCAACTATGTATATCTTAAGCTTTTAGAAAATGTACGGAAATGGACTGTACTATACTTAGAAATATTCTGGTGCAAGGTTTTTGTTCACCTGAAAATGAAATTGCTCGATTTCCTATTGAATTTCGTCTTAATTCCTCTAGCCATCCGGCGGGCAGGCGTCCAAATCCTGGAACACACCTCCAGATCAATGTCACACAGCCACAGATTTCAAAACGTTCCTCAAATCATTCAGTTCTTTCATGATTTGAAAACATGTATAGGCTTTGTTCGAATTTTTCTCTCGTTATTTTCAATTTAATTGTAACAGTTGGTACCTCGAAGAAATTAGCAGCAATGCTACTTTGTAAATTCGAGGAAGAGTTCATGTAAGGGGCCAGTACAAGGACAATTACATTGCGCCAGAACTTGTTGATGGTACGGGAAAACCATCTATTAAAAGTGATATCTATGCACTGTCTTTCCTGATCAAATCTGTGTATAGACTTCTACATTTTCGAAACGTTGTTGCTGTGAAGAACGCTTTAGTAACATCGCCTGAAGAAAGACCGACAATCAAAGAATTAAAAGCGGCTTTAAGTGCTGACGATTAGAGAGGTGCGAACTTTTTTCAAATTTATGATGACAGTGATGATGACCTCTCCGGACACCGGTCAGAAATTTAGGCACCTCTTGCGCTTGAACATTAAAAAGGCAAAACAGATGAGTTCGAACGAGAACTTTATTAGCCATTTAGTACCTGTTTGGCTGAAAGTAATACATGGCAACCTTATTGATAACTTAATAGTATATGATAACTGTTACTTAACAGTACATACTGTATTTATTTTAGGGTACATGGATATATAAATGCATTGGAAAAAGCTGATATCTTGACAGACGAATATTTATTCATTCTTAGGTAAAATATACCATTGATATAGTGGTTATTTTTGTTGTTTGATAGTTACGATATAAGTAATGCTGGATGAACGAATCAGAATGAACTTAAAATAATGTTCACCATAGGCGTACGGGCACCTTCGGACTTGGGGGGGAGGGGGGCGGTGACTTTCTTGCCCGAAAAATTTATGCAATGTCCGAGTGCGAGCGTGTTAAAATTGGGATGCAAACGCACTCTAATTGCATGAAAAACAAAAATGTTTACAATTCCCATATGTAATGACACTGTTATAATTTCAAAAATAGTTATATTCAAAGCTTACATAATCAATCAATCAATCAATCATATTCTTTCAACAGTCTCAATCAAGTAAAATCTAAAACGTCTTGAAAGAAAAAATTCTGAAAAAAAAGTAACCAACTAGAAACTTTATTTACGAGTTCTGGAAATCACGCAAGTAGCATTATTTTGTAATGTTTTCTCTGAAGTGTCGTTGCCCGAATCATGAGCGTTTTGCCCGAAAAATTACGTAATTTCCGTAGCTGGGGGGGGGGGGGGGGG